GGTGCGGGCCTGGTCCCGCCTCAGCTCGCCGGGCGTTTCGGGTGTCCCCGCGGCCACAGGCTGGGCGGCGGGTTCCGGGGAGTTTCGGCCGCTTTCCCCGAGGCGATCCCCTCACGGAGCCGGCCGCGCCGCCTGGTCCTCTCCTCCCTCAACGCGTGGCGGCTGCCGGGACGGTTAAGGACTTGTCGCCGTTTAACCCCAGCCGGCAACTAAGCTCCGTGCTGTTGAGAAGACTTTCAAATAGACGCGGCTCCCGTAAGTTAAATATTTATTCTCCCTGTGAGCAAAGCTTTGAAACTTGAGTTCGGCTAGCAGTTCAGTGAAGAAACCGTTTTATTAGCGTAGAACTGTCGGGTGAGAACCTGCTGTCAGCATTGCCACCCAGCGCAGCCGGGCTCCCTGAAGTGGAAGCGAGGTGTTCTCCACCCCCGGTCTGTAATTGAGAATTAATTCGGGAAGGAGGTTTGCGGGAGAAATAAAGTAGCTCAGAGAGTGTTCAGAAGAGGAGAGCTGGAAGATGAAACTGCCTGTTGTGGGCTGTTTTACCGGTACAGAGAGATAAGGGCGGTAAGAGCATGAAGAGATGTCAAGTGATCTCCAGTTTTCATCGTTCAGCACTCATGTTACTTCTACCATAAAAATACCTCATGTTTAACGTTTACCAGAAGGATAATGAATCGCGCCCCTTTGTGTATTTTGTTCAGTTTTGCATGGGGCAAAGTGAGATGTTAAGCATTCATTTGGTAGGTCGGTAACTCTGGCTGTACCTGGGTAAAGTGCAGTATGTTCTCTTGAAGATTTGCATGTACAACACGTGTTTATTTCCATAGTCATAAAGGTCTTCTGCAATTTCGGATTTTTAATTGCAGGGTTTTGGCAGGAGGGGGCAATAGCGAGGGGCACTTTTCTGTGGTTTTTTGGTTTGTTGTGGTTTGGTGCTTTTAAACAGAAACATGCGAACAGGTGCGTGAAGGGCACTTGTATGGAAATGTGGAAGGAGTAGATGGGAAGCTGAAATTCAGCCTTCTTTGCTCTCCCAGGTTTATTGATTTCCTTTGCGTGTATTCCTGACTTTGGCTTGGCTCTGCTGTATGAACTTGGCTAAAACCAACAAATCTTTACGCTGCCTTGTATCTTCCTAATGGAGAAATGCTTGGAGTAGCACTCGGTATACCAGGAGAGTGAAAGGACAAATTGGGACAAAGCTAAGCAAATATGGGTTGTTTTTAAATGATGTGGATTTACCCTCTGTTTGCTGATAGCTCCGGTTGGAAGCAATTGTAAGGGCCTCCTGAAGCTAAAGGAAACCCAGTGTAAATTTGAGCAGAGAGAGAACTCAAACAAACTTTAGGTTTGTCTTCAGGGTAAGTATAGCTCGGTACAAGAATATGAGGTTAAAAAAATATATATTTTAAAATAATTTGTAATATATAAAATAATTTCAAGTCCCTGTAACAAGTCTTAAGCTGAGGGATAGCTCAAGACTAATCGTGCCACCGACTGCTGATATTTACGTGTTGTAGACACTCGTGATATGCCTGTGACTGTTACAGACAAATGTCAGCATCACTTTTGAAAACTTAAATGCTTTATTTACATAAACCAGGTAATAAGTATCTTGGCAAAACATATAGCAGTTTATCTATTGTACATCTGGGACTCTGCCCTATGAAAAGCACAGATTTAAAGGGAGGGGGCAGAAAATGATGTGTGGTTGAAGCATGGTAGGAATTGGGGTGGGAGTGTTGTTCTCTGGTTCCATGTTCCCTTGCTGCTTTCATCTCCTGTCCCAGGAAGCTGAGGAATGGTGGCAGAGGGCACTGCTGCTACCACCTTGATTTCACTCCACAAACCCATCCATATAAGAACTTTTCTAAGAAGCAGGGAAAGGAGTAGGTAGAGGTGGGGTAAGAAGCACTATCCTCCCCTCACTCTTGTATCTGATCTCACTTCATTTTTGTTAACGTGGTACCAGCAGTGTGGAAAAGTGATTGGGGGGAGTGTAACCAAATAGAATACATTGGTGTAGGTGTAGATTGGAGAAGTGCTTTCTGGGTTCTTGAATCCTTTCTCCCTGTTTTTGCTGTCATGCTGCTGTCACACTGAGTCTCTGTTACTCTAGACAGCCCGTGCAGTCTCTAAGGCAGCATTAATGTGACTTGATGTTAGAGTGTTTGAATGGAGGATGGGAAAAGAACAGATGTAAAAGAGTAAGTGAAGGCCTTAAGAATCACATTCCCTGAACACTTTTATAGGGTCAGTAAACAAGGGGGAAAGGCAGCGGGAGAATGTGCTATGAGTACAAAACATCGGAAAATTAAAGACAACAAAAGATAGTGATCCACCTTTTTTTTTTTTTTTTTCCCCATGTGCAGCTCTGCTTCTAGTTGTCATTTACCTAACTTGTTTCCTGTTTGCCTCTTTCCAGTCTCTCTTTCTTCAAAACAAACAAACTCCCACAAAAACCTATAAAGCACTTATCCCTAGACACTACTTTCACTCATATTAGACTATTCAGATACAGACCAGAAACTTCGATCACTTTCCCCACAGCCAGGGATTTGTTTGAGCTTTTCAGCTCAAACAAATGAGGGCCTTGACCTGGTAAGATTAGCAAAGGACTATGTTCTTACACATAATGCAGAGCCTCAGTGAGGCTTTGCTAGTTAGCAAAAAATCCACCTTCCTCCAAAAAATTATATTTACAGGAATAGGGTGAAAGCATCTTCTTGCTTTAGATGTCCATAGTATGATTCAGATTCGGTGTTTATCAAAGCAGAGAAATGATGCATAAGGAAATGTGTTTTGTGATAATGATCACTCAATATAGATGCAAATGTTATCATTCAGTGTACTGTGCCAAGCAAGGCTCTTCTGCATTTTCCAGAAATACCTAATTGTGCAGAAATAGAAATGCAACAGAAGACAGCATTGTTTAGGGCAGTAAATGAGAACCTTCAGAAGTCACTTTTCTGTTAGTGAAATTGCATCATTCAAATCTTTAGAGGTGTTTATCACCTCATTTTGTCACCTCATCCTCAGAGGTCAGTGAATTCAACTTTCTTAAGATACAATCTTGAAATTCTCATAAGCTACTGAATAAAGTTCAGCCAGCAATGGCTGCCCTTGGAGGCATGCTTGATGAGTTACCAGAGTTCAGTAGATGTGTAAGAAATCATTTCACTTCAGTAACTTGATCCCTTGAAAACTGGAAAGTTTAAGCCATGTACTATTTTAAGTTCTCTTAAGTTTTTCTCGGTTTGCTCTTGCCTGTTCTGTGCTATTAACTCACCTGTTACTTTGGAGAGCTAAAGAAACTGAGACTCTCACCTTTGGACAATCTGTTCTTTAACTTTGTCTGACCACCAGCTCTGACGTGATAACATGTCTTTGATAAACTGTGACAGCTTGAATTTCTTCTTGCACCCCTTTTGTAGTTCTTCTTTTAAATAGATGCACATTAATCAGCACAGTAAAGGTACTTCCTTTTTTTTGTAGCTAGATGCCTCTGCCTATATGTTTTAGCACATTTTTATTTCGGGTCTCTTGTGATCTTGTAACATTACAGTTACCTCTTTTGTTTGTCTGCATCTTTGTGTGTTTACTTACTATAAAACCATTTCCCAATAGCACTGTTGCTTTTATTTGGCAATTCATTGATGCAGAGAACAAAGAAGTTAAATTACAAAGATAATTCCTTTCTCAAAGAAACATAAAAAGTAAATCCTAATGTCATTGCTGCCAGTCTGGGTCAGTTTGTGGATTTTAAGTTTATACTGTGCATCTGCCAAGTTACAATGTAGTAGTTTAGAGGACTGTAAGCATGGCCTGGATTTTAAACTCTAATTTGATAACCGGTAAAGCAAGATTGTTGTGGATGTTGTGTAGTTTACTAGTATTTCTGGAAGACCTGTAACCCAGAGTTGCTGAGGGGAGAGAGCTGTATATTTTCATACTGATCAAAGAGGAAAATTTGGTATCTTCACATGAATAAGACAGGACATTATTTCTCTGTCAGATGATCAACAAACTAATGGGGACCCATTAGTGTGTTTCTCAACTCTGTGATCTATGAAATGTATCTTTATATTTATTTTATATGCACATAAAAACATCTGTTCATCATGTTAGCTGAATTTTCTAGGTAAAACTTGAAGTAACTGAAGATAAAAGTTAAAAATTGAATACAGGGAAAAATAGAGTGCTTTGTGGTTTAGAGAGGGGAAAAGATAACAAACCTGATGGTGACCAGATAGTATGTGGCAGACAGCATGCCTGGAATGGTAAATGGTGCATCTGACTTCCAAAAAGTTGCAATGACAGAGTGTGAACTCCTGATTGTATGAGAGGTCTTTTGCGTATCATCCAAGGGCATGGTGCTAAACTGATGATAGTTTCCTGAAGCAGATGTGAATTTGGAGAAAACAGATCAGCAAGCCTGATTCTCCTTCAGCAAAATCTTGAATTAGGCTGGAGGGTTGAAATAAGACTGAACGCTCAGTCAAGATATGCTGGATGGAAGAAAAAGATGGGTCCAGAGCCTGGCTCTGTAGCAAGGGTTGCTTATCAAATGTGGACTGAGAGTCTTGTTTTCGTTAGAGTAAATGTAACATGGATGAATATTCATAGAGAATGAGTCACTTGCTGGCTATGTCTTCATACTCTTTAAAATCAACAGATTGTATGCCAGTTAAATTACTAAAGATAAATCTAAACTGCTCAATTCTCATCTAGTTTTCAAGCACTGACAGTATGGGAACTGCTGTTTTACTTTACCCTGCTCTGAAGACAGGTCTGTCTGGTCTCCACATTGAGAGGTGACTTCACTGGGGATGCCTTCTTGTTTCTGTCTGCACTGCTCATACAAAGAAATAATTTTGTTTCCGGTTTGCACTATTTTCAACCCAAGGTTTGTTTCAGAAGTCTTAGCTTGACGGCAAAATATTTGCCAAGTGTCTCCTGAATATAGCGAGTCATATTTTTGTCCCACTACAATACAGTGCAGATGGTAGCATCTGCTTTAATAATGCATAATCAGAACCTCTTATTCTAATGACATTGCAGTAAGCTTTATGAATGTGTTTCTGTGATGATGAGCTCACGCATGTAATCCAGTCAGCTCCTAAACGGAAGTAGTTTGATGTTTCGCTCCTGAGAAAAAAATTTCCCTAGCAAAGAACCTTGGGGATGTAAATCTGGTATTTTAAATAGATAGAAAACTGGCACAAACCATCCTGGGAAGCAAAATTTTTGCA